CCCCTGGTCCATGCTGAGGTTGGACGAGGAGGCGCAGAGGTGGCTGCCGCTGGCCAACAACCTGCCCCCCGACCTGGTGAACGTCCGAGGCTACGGGTCGGCGATGCTGGACAACTACCTGTTCATCGTCGGGGGCTACAGGATCACCAGCCAGGAGATTTCTGCCGCCCACTGTTACAACCCGTGCCTAAACGAATGGAGTCAGCTGGCTTCGATGAACCAGAAGAGGTAACCCCCGCTCCCTGAAACGCACGTGTGTCCGCGTCCGTCGTCGGCGCGGACCCCGTTGAGTCGCGTGGTGTTGGCCGGACTCGACGTTGCGAGAACGTCGGGGGCTACAGGATCACCAGCCAGGAGATTTCTGCCGCCCACTGTTACAACCCGTGCCTAAACGAATGGAGTCAGCTGGCTTCGATGAACCAGAAGAGGTAACCCCCGCTCCCTGAAACGCACGTGTGTCCGCGTCCGTCGTCGGCGCGGACCCCGTTGAGTCGCGTGGTGTTGGCCGGACTCGACGTTGCGAGAAGTGATCCGGACCTGTCTCTGCGCCGCGGGTCGCTCCCGCCTCTGCCGCTGGTCTGGTGGGAAGGACCGCGGTGCCTGGCGACGGCTTGGTGCCTCCGGACGGGGCCTGGCGAACCTCAGCTTTGCTGGCCAACGGTTGTCCCACCACAGCACAACGCTGCAGCCCCTCTGCTGCCTAGGGGCCACCCCCCTGCATGGCGTGGGGAGCTGCTGTGGCGAGGCAAGGGGGGGGAGGGCGGGGCTGGGCTGTAAATGCTGGTGGTTAAGTTCACAGCTGTGGGAGAACGTGAGCTAGGCGTCAGCGGAGGAGGACTGGGCTGCAGCTCTCCACCATGTGTGAACATTCACCTCTATGAGATGGTGGTGGGCTCCCACTTTTCCTTTGTATTGTAGTATACAAGGATCCAGTCTCTCCTAACAGCTGTCTCGCTGCTAGTAGAAATTGTCCTTAAAATAACAAAGATAAACCCCTAAAAGATAAAATTCTTCTGCTTCCTTCGTGGTATATTTTACCTCCAGTACTGTAAATGACAAGTCTTCCCTCCCTCAGTGGGGGTGTACGGTCTACCAGAGCTAGAGGTGGCTGAAAAATTTTAGTTGGAGCAGTTTTGCATTGGTTTATACTTCTATAAAAATCTGAATGTTTTGTAGGCCTGCATTTCAGTGAAATATTCAGCAGAAAAATGTCAGGAACGTTGTGAGAAATTTCTCACTTTGTGAGAACATGGTGATCTGGGAAACTTTCATCATTTTGACGATTTTGCTTTTCCCTGTATCCTTTGGAATTGTTTGTTTAACATTTATGTTTAAGTTAGTATTCGGAAACACTTGTAGAATTTATATTTGAAAGAACAATAGCGATCTAGCCTTGAGGGAGACCTAAGAAGAGAGGCCATCTCCTGGGCCGACGTGGTGGCTGCTCTACCTTAACCACGCTGCAGAGTTATCAAAACAAAGCCTTTTGCTTCACTGAAACAGAATGTTTCTGTTTATCCAATGTGAACTTCCTCCTTGTTTCCATTTTAGAAAAAGTGCTCCGGGTTTTATCTTCTCTGCCTGAATCAAACCTAAAACAAGTCAGGAGGCCAAAATTCACTGTAGAATGGAAATTCTCTCCTCCGTCGAGTAAATTCGAGGATCATCCAGAGACTCCAGCCATCGGCATAAATGCTGTGTGTCTGGGTAGTAAAACTGCAGGCTATTCCAGAGAGCTTGCCAGCTAAAACCCCTCAAAACAGGGGTTTGGCCTAAAATTAGTTCTTTCTCATTTCACCCTTTTATTTTTTCCTTCCTGTATTGTTGCAAGAATTCCACTGAAATGGTTGCCTCCATAAGCAGTTATCAGAATTTATTGGAAACCTGGGATATTTCTGGCTGCTTGGAAAGGTGTGAGAAATAGCATCTGTAAAATGAGGGTTTAGCTTTTAAACACTGCAAACTCCATTTCTTACAGGCATGATTTTTAAAGGGTGAGCCTATAAGCAGTCTTCACCAAGGCGCCTGTGGGAACTGAGATGTTTTAGCCGGCCTGGTTTCGTCAGTCTTGCCTATGTGAGCACGACCGAGAGCACATCGACCTTGGTGGGAAAGGGTGATGGGGTCAGCCCACACAGGATCTCCTGTGGAAATGAACTTAAACACAGAAGTGCCACGTTGGTCAAATTAGGAGATTTTGGCATTGGTTTGTGTGATGCGTATAGCAAGAGAGATGTTATTATGTGTGATGATTCTGCACCATGGCAAATGAGGGCTTTTTAAAAACTGTTTTCTCAAGGCCCTTTTTTCACCGTATGACCTGGCTGTTCAAACTTTAGATCAACCTTTTTTTCCCCCACGCTTCCCTTTCTTTCCTTTTTTTCTAGGATATATAGTCATTGTATCTGAAATAAACACATGGACTTCTTCTCCTTAACTGTTTTCAACTGCACTGCCATACTGACTTAATCTTTAGGCCCGTCACAGGTGACAGCAAGGTATTCCTCAGCATAGAATTTCACATTGGCGATTTATGGGAAAAAAGTAGCATGCAAATGGATATTTTTGGAATAGTCTGCATTCTTACATTTCGTAGTAGTTATTGCAGGTCAAAACCAACCCAGAATTACATCTGCCTGTAGACTGCAAGGTAGCAGCAGGTGAGTGTGTTGCTCCCTGAATGATAATCAGGGGAAGTTTTTTTCATGGAAATTCTGGTTTTCATGGAAACTTCACAAAACATATTTTTGACTCGAACATCTTCATGGAGTCTCAACTGTGAAGTTATTAATTATTATTTTTTCTGTCTGACATAACTTTTCAGGTCTCTGCTGACCAGCTTGACGTTTAGTGGCTTGAGCACAGGAAGAGAAGGCCTGTGCCGTAGGACCCAAGGGAGTAGGGAGATTTTTAGGATCAGAGAGTTTGCATTCAACAGGAACAGCACTGATGCCTGCCTGCTGCACAGATGTGCTGCAATTAGATCTGCACTTTGCTTGGCATTGTATTTTTAGCTTGTTGTGCTGTAGTAAAATAAGCAGGGCAGTTGCCCAGCCTGCTGCTTAGGAATTAGAGTCATGTGACTGTCTGCCAAATGAATTTATGTCAGCTGATATAATTACATCCCGTGGATGAATTTTTTACATGCCTTGAGGGAAGGTTCCAGTTCCTGTTGAAGTCAATTTGACTTCAGACAACAAGAGTGTCTGGATCTGGACTATATGAATGGATGCATATGTTTGCCTCAAGAGAAGGCTGAGGAACTATGGAAATAGTTGCACTGATTTGCTGTTAATATGAGAAGTGCTCTGCCCTCAACAAACCTTGTAAATTCTATTATATTTATATCTGTCACTGTTTATATTATAATATGGAATCACAGGATTCTGTGATTCTCTACATATGCATAAATGAAATAGTCCCAACTTACTTCTAAGTAGAAGACAAAAGCCATCAGATGTATGCTGAATACTTAGCAGTCATTCTGGTTTAGGTTATAGCTGTTAGCTTTCTTTCACAGAATCACAGCATGTTCAAGGTTGGAAGAGACCTCTGTGGGTCACCC